TTGTGTTGAATGTGCCGTGATAGTTTTATTTTTCTTATTGGCTTGAGTTCTTTTATGTAAAGAAGAGTGTATATTATTTTCTGGAGAATTTGAAAGAACTCTCTTTTTGTTGCTTGGTGTGTGCTCAGTTTTTTTGTTAAGTATGATTAGTTTATCGTATTTGATTATCGCCTTATTTCCCTTTTCTCTTTCTTTGTTAAGTTGCGTCTGTAATTCCTTCCTTTTTTGCAATATCTCATGTGGGTAGTCTTCCTGGACGTAGTAGGGGCTATCTTTCAGTGCTATCTTGTGTTTTAATATGTTAATTTTAGTGCCTAATGTCGTAAAAGTTATGACAACAGGTCGAGGCTTCTCCGTTTTTCTTCCTATTCTCCTTATCATCTGTACATCTCTGTTGTCTAATTTAACTGAAAGATGATTATGTATGAATTCTATCATTTTTTTCTCCATATTTAGGTACGAACTTTCATCTTCTTCGATTCCAAAAAACACTACATTGCGTTGTCTTGCTTGTCTCTCTAAATAACATAGTCTACGATCTTGGTTTTCTATTCTTTCTTTTAAGTTTTCGAACTGGCTGTCCCATAATTGAAAATTTTCATCTATTAGTTTATTTATATTTTCTGTTACGTTCTCTGTTACTTTTTCGGCAGTTGTTAAAATCATGTTTTTTTGTTCGCGCATTTCATTTTGTATTTGGCGAAGCGATAATATTATTTCTTCCATCGTTTATGTAGGACTGTTGTCGAGTTGGTAGGTGTGCGAGGACCTTAGCACTGTCGAATGTTCGCGATCGACGGCTGTCGACGGCGATCGACGGCGAAGACGACGATGACTCAGCGCGCGCTGCGTGCGAGCGTCCGAGCGATAGTTCGTTATTGAAGTCGACACGTTAATCAAAATGTTTTTATTTGTAACTTCCAAAATACCAGCTCGATTTTTGTAATTTTAGCACCAATTTAAAGAACGTTACACTATACACATGACCATGTAACTTTTACACCTTAAACTTCGTTTTAAACTAACTCAAATAATTAAAAAGCACGGAGCTACCCAAACGTAATGTTGCGTTAGCGAATGCCGCAGCGGTACTCAGCGGTAAAGAATAATTACAGTCCATCAATTACCTCTAATAGTGAAAAGATATATATTATTCAAAATAAATTAAAAGAAAAGAATCACGAAAACTTTTAACAAAGAAAGCAGATGTAATAATCTTACTCTTACTAATATTGTAAATTCGAATGTTTAGATGAATGGATGGATAGATCAATGTTTTTTCGAAGGTATCTCTAGAACGGCTGCATGAGCCTCTTTGAAATTTGGTATAGATGTAGAAGGCATGGAAGAACACATAGGCTACTAATAAGTGTTTTTTTTTTAATTCCGCGCGAACGGAGTCGCGGGCGACAGCGAGAAAGTAGTAAAACAAAAGCACATTAATTTAAACTACGTGTAACAAACAAAATACAGGCTGATGAAAAATTCCATAAAAAATATATTTAACGCGTACACTCCTTATGTGCAACTTACTTTACCGTCACTGTACAGAGATTATCGTCATTTAAGTTGTAACTGAGAAGTTCGGTGACCCTTTTAATCCTGTCCCCGACTGAACATAAAATAACTGTGAATCCTCCCACTTACGTTTTGATGAGCCGTCAGTAAAAGCTGAGAGCAACTCTATAATACATTTATTCAAGGCTGAAAAATAAGTTGGAATGACGTAGTAGCATAAACATGCAAATTGTTAAATCAATTTAATATAGCGTAAATATAGCGTTTGTGTTTTGTTATTTTATGATTATAACGTTTTTATAACCGGTTTTAGTTATTTCGTTATTTTTATACTGTTCTTATAATTAATAATTTAATCGTCTAAAAATATCATTATCAGATGTACATCATACTCAGCCAGTGTGCATTTCAATATTCCAACTTGTAGTTCTTCGAGCCAAATAATTAATCTATGATTTAAATGAGAACCCCCTGCCTCATAAAATCCGATCCAATGAATCGTGAAGTAGGGAACGTGCTCACCAAATCAATTAAATCGGTCCCAATCCAATTTGAATCCCGTTTTAAATTGCCTTATAATTTGTTACCTCATTTTCATATGTTCGAAGGGACGGTTGCACAGAATATAAAGATATTATAAAAAGCCTTCATTTCTGTTTCTGGTAAGTTTACAAACATATCATTGTACTAAGTTGTCTTGTCTTCTTTTATTCAACAAAGTAAACTACACATAAGTAACTTTTATTAAATGGTTTTATAAATAAAGTAATGGTTTTGATATTTCATCTACGATACATTATCCCCGAAAGTTACCGTCTTTTGCAAAACATTAAGCAATATTAACTAAAAGGATCGTTTTATTTAAAATTCAAGTAACAAAGGGGATAGTAAAAGAAAAAAAATATCAAAGACTAACGACATGCCCTTAACGCTGGACAAATTATTTAAAGATTAAACATAATTGGACATAAAAACAAAGTACTTTTATTTTAAGAATTCCTATTACATTAAATATTATAATATTATTATACATAATGCATAAATTAGGTGGAAGAATCTGACGATATTAATTAAATTTCCCATACCTATATTTATCTTAATTTAATTTACAAAATGGACCTGAGCCGTGAGAATGAATAAAGCTTTATACAGAGTTCCCTGGCTGTACTTTTACGAACCAATTTTATTTCATCTGTAATTTAAACAGAGCGTTGCGTCGTAAAATACGCTCAAATAAATCGAAACAGTAACTGTGCCTATCAGAATCTATCAATATTGAATCGTTTTGAATCTTACTAATATAAATGCGAATGTTTGGATGGATGGATGTTTTTTAGAAGTTATCTCAAGAACGACTGTGTGAATCTCGCTGAAATTTGGCAAAGATGTAGATCATAGTCTGGAAGAACACATTGGCTATTAATTAAGTATTTTTTTTTAATTCCGCGCGGATGGAATCGCGGGCGACAGCTAGTAATGTCATCAAATCAAAAACGTACCCTATACTAACTATATCTAATGATACGAGTATATCCACACTTCTGACATCAAGAGGTTAAGTATCAAAAGGTTAAAATCAAACATTGCTTATCTTCATTTACAGATTTGATATTACATTCTATTTTTTGGTGAAATTCACTAGCTAAATACACTGTGTTGTACAGTCAGCTGCATAAATATTTATACAATTAAAGCTTAAGAAATTTATTCACGCTTTTGGTTTTAAAAATATTTGTTTTAAATTTTTCTATAAGTAATTTTAAGTAACATCGATTTCTAACACAGTAAATAGTAACGACTGAAATTGAAGAATACTAAATTTGAATGTTTCTATGTTGATTTGCGAATCTTTGAGATACAATTTAATAACAAAAAACAGCTTTTAAATGAAATGAAACAATTATGGAGACCAATTTTAAGCAACAATTACTCTAAGTGTAATTAATTATAGTTTGGTGCATACAAATGTAGGCAAGAATAACTGCAATATACTCATGTTAATTTTCGTATCTTTTAAAAATTGATCATTTTTAGGGTTCCGTACCTCGAAAGGAAAAAACGAAACCCTTACGAGATCACTTTGTTATCCGTCTGTCTGTCAAGCCTCTTTTTTTCTAAAGTCTTTATATTGAAGATCTTTTAAGAACTGTTGTATTAAAAACCTTGTTAAATAATATTATACATCGTTTTATTCGATTTCCTCTCATTTTATGTGATTAAACTATTGAGTATATATGCACATATTTTGGATTGTCTAAATTTACATTTCGCTTTACAAACTTTAATGATTTCGAAATAAAGTTTAATCTGTATTCATAAGTAAAGTCCATGATCATAAAATAGATGTATTGTCTGCATTGAATTGACAATATTATCTATACCTCTTAAATATAAAGCACTTTCAGATTATATTAAGTTTACAATTGTAATTTACATGTAAAATTTTATAGTGATCCTTTCGAAAATTTTATTGGCCACTAAGATATTTTTATTATTTTTGGTTTTATTTATTACTATCGGCTTATGTTGGTTTTTACATTATTATTGGTATATTTTACGCTCATCAATTTACTGTAATATACAAAATTACCTAACAAGGGTTTACTTTACTGGGAATGTTCATGGATGTCGGATCACATAAACAACCTGCGTGTTTTTTCTGCTATAAAAAAATTCGATTTAATTAAAAATAACGAAAGGCAGCGTTTAAAGTGAATTTAGAAGCCCGCTGGGAGTTAGAGGTCTATGTAGATTTGCATAATGTTAATTGAGATGGACAGTGTACGCAGCTTTCGCTAGCTTCTTGGAAAGTTTTCTAGTGTTAAATTAATAAATGTAAACTAACATTACTAAGGTACAGGTACAACTTGATTTTATAAACATGATATAACGATGAGGAATCTTTATATTTATCTTTGAATTCTCTTCTGCCGAATTTGGGTTCTAATGACGGACTAAAATTAGGTTTCCGACCCACACTCATCACACGGATCGCGGAAATACCTACACTTCTCACATGCCTTCTATGCGATTTTAATATTTCACCGTTCAAGCAGGCCATTCATGTAGCAAATATGCTGCTGCAGACTCTACCGCTGTAACAGAATACTACGGAAGACAAAATTTACCTACGGGCCTTTAAATATTTAAGGAATTAGATAGGTACATATTTTTATTGATTAATTGATATTAATGTTATTTTTAATCATATTCCTTTCGATCGGTTACACCAACAACATAGTAACGCCATCTTCCGGTCGCCATTCGTTTTGATTGTGTAATTCCGGTTAATCTATATTTAATACAAAATGTTCAATCATATTTATTCCTAGCAGTAAAATATTTTTCAAAGCATTAATTTTGTTAATTCTGAGATTTTAAATGTTACGTTAAATGTTACCGGTTGCCGTTTTACTCAATTACTACATCTATGGCTTGTCATTCATAACATACTCTTTGATTTGACATAGCGCAGCAACCATTACACAATTTATGACGAATATGGCCGTCTATTACGAATGGGGATATTCGCGGTTATTTTTTCTTAATACTTGCTTAATTATCTAGTTTTTATAATTTGGATTATATTGTCTTACAGTGTAGAATGTAAGTCAATGTGTGTATCGAAATCTTTCACGTAAGTATTTTAGATCAATTGTATATACCCCGACATCCTTGACCGATCTTATGTAGCAGAAAAGTAACCACTATTTTTTATCCTAATTTAATAACATCTGTTACAGGTATCCTGAAGATGCCAGTTAATCCTGTATCAGGAACGAAAAAAGGTGTTGAAAAATCGAAATTTACACTATCCTTAAACAGGAATAATGCTACATATTTGAGCGACGAAAATAAAAAGCCTGTGAATTCGAAAGGTATTTCTAGCTCTCTAAAAGTATACGACGACAATAAGGAGAATAAGCCCGTAAAGAGAGCACTGAACAGCACATATTTTAATACTTTGAATGCTGCGAAGAAACTAAAACCATTATCGGAAACTCTAAAATCTGCCGGTAAGTACACTACGTCTGTACGTAACATTTTGCCGATCAGGAAATATTTATTTATTTACACGGAAGACTTACAGCTAGAAAGTATGAATAATACATACAAGATAGTTAACATACAGCCATTTACAAGTATACTTTGTCAGCACAAGAAATATATAATATACACGTAATAATTATGGGAAATTCAGCTCATTTATTAGAAAAAGAAAGATGCAAAAAGTGAGAGTGATGAACAATCTAGAAGCGTGATCGATTTATTTCATCACCTTTTTATTTTTATTACTGTACACCAATATTTTGAATGTTAATATATTTTATTTTAAATAGTATTTATATTGGCGTTTTTAGATAGTGAGCTGATAGTATTAGAAAAGCCAATTGGCAGCGCTGCCATGTTGAATGGCCATCACCCTACAGACAATCAGTATGGGGGAGGAGCTCAGTGGAAGGCCCCTATTGCTACTCTCTCTAACTTGGGGAATACTTGTTTTTTAAATAGTGTACTTTATACACTCAGGTAAGCTTTTCTTTATATTCTTTATATATTTTTTTCCATTTATTCTATTATAATATTAGTATGATTACCTTAAATTGGGTTAGCCTCCCAGCCCCTCAGTGGGGACATATAGTGAGCTGATGATCATGATGATTAGTAAGATTACTGGAACATAGTTAATTTGTACTAAGTTTGTGTAAATTTATGATCTTATTTAAAACTCTTAATTCAAGGTATGCACCTCGGTTTCTTCACAATTTGCACCATCTGGTATCAGATTTGGCAAGTGTGGAACAGAAATTAGGCAGCATTAGATTGAAGAGTTCCTCATTGGGTCGAAGTGCTGCTGGGTTAGCATCATCAGGGACCAGATCATGGAGCAGTAAGGACTTACTGTCTTTAGGACAATCTGACAATAGTGCTGGGAAAAGTAAAATACAGGTTAGTCTAATTTATTGAAATTCAAAGTTGAGAAGTTGAAAATTCAAAATATTTCCTAATAATGTGGATGGAAAGGAAGGGCATGTATAGGAAAGGGAAATATGTTGTTTATCTACATCCCCTCCTCTGTCGTTCAAGACATCTGCAACCTTCTATTTGCATACTTAGTGCAATGGTCACTTAGCTACTGTAGCAATTTTACATGGATGCTATGTTTGACCAATTTGTACTGAAAATGTCAATAGGCAGTAAATGCCACTTAACATGGGGGCAGCCTTTACCTAATGGTAACATATCTAGTTAAATATTAAGAATCTTGCATCACATTATCACATTCGCTACTCATTTGTCCGTTCTGTGTTAAAAATTGAAAGTTACACAATAAGTTTTATCTTGTATGATAAAAATGTTAACATATTTATTCTGTCAGAGTTGAGTGATGGATTTAAATGTGGTTTTATCAGCACAGCGGATGCTTTTGGATGAATTTGCTTATTCAAAATCATGATTAGATAGCTTGAACTGTATTCTAAATGGGATTTATATCTTGCTTCTTACTTAATACTATAAATGTGAAAGTTTGGACGGATGGATTAGAAGGCATCTCCAGAACAATCTCGCCGAAATTTGGTATAAATTTAGAGCATAGCCTGGAAGAACACATAGGCTACTAGTCATGTTTCTTTTAATTCCGCACGGACAGTGCCACGGGTGATTTAGTACAAGTATATTACTGCTCCTACAGATTATGTAGGATACATCTTTGTATATAAAAAATTGCAAATGTTTTTTAATCCCTAACAACCTTCACTATATGCAGTTAAATTAAAACAAACATTTATAATTTAAGATTGCTACGGAGAAACTTCATGAAACTTATTTAAACCTTCGAGCAGCGGAGAGCAAATGCCTTAACAGTGGTTCGGGAGATGGGAGTCCTGAGCCATATGCTGCAGATGCCTTTCTTGCCGCACTAAGAGATGTTAATTCTACATTTGAGGGTAAGTTTATAGAGAATATTATCAAAAATAGTTTTAAAGATGTGAGCAAATAACTAGTTTCAGTATAGTCTTTGTTGGTAAATAAAACACATTCATTGAAGTTCATTTTAATCTTTATGAATGCTTCCTTTCTCTTTCTAACAACTTTTTGAGTTATTCTTTTTTCTTCATTAACCTGGCAATATAATTACAGTTTTTTCTTAAAAAAATTATATTTTTTTAATTCTGTTGATAAACAAAATAATATAAAGTTGCACCAATGTAAATAACTTATAACATTGACATTGCAAAGTTGACAGAAGCCATACAAAATGTCCACACATTACATAACTAAGTATGTGTTATGTATGCTTTAATAAAACTTCATACCAAGCATTAATGCTCACTTAATATTAAGTTAATAAGCCATTTATTAAATCAATAAAAACCTTGACCTAAGTTATTCCTAGCATGTTTCCTAATACCTCGCCATGTTCCTAGAACATTACCTAATTATATTTATCTAACTCCACCCTAGTAACATATAAATTATTTTGTCCATACTCCTAGAATAAACAAAAATAGGCATAAGCATCAAGATTTTGAAGTAAAATACTTCGGAAGCTAGAAATGTAATAAATTACCTTCCTAGTCTAGTTCAAATAATAATACATTTCATATAAGCCTTCTTATAATTGGTAATATCATGTTTCCATATGTAAAACTAGCTCCTATCCATACACACTAGTTTAGTAATCTTTCCAATGAAGACAGGAGGAGGTGGAAATAATTTGTTATGTCGGAAGAGTTTAGTCAACTTTCCTTTCCCATCTTTTCCTAAGCAAAGGCTGATAAGGAGAATTTGATTAGATGAAGGAGTAGACTTACATGCAGGGGAAATATTCTCTATGTGTCCTCTCTTCCATTAATTAAAGGTAGGCAATGTATATGCAAGAATTCTTTGGACTTACACCGAACAAAGATTCCAATAACTTTAATTCTTCTATAATTGTATTGATGTTTTAGGCAATCGTCAACAAGACGCCCACGAACTGCTGGTATGCATCCTGGACAATATCCGGGAAACTTGCCGAGCACTCAGCGCTAGAGCGTCACGTCTGCAAATACATGAGAATGGAGACAGGTAACATTGACAAATAATATTAGTTTTTGAATTTACCACACTTTTTGTCTAGTCCTGAAATAGAAATCAACAAAAACAATATTTTCTAAATGAGCCAATATATTCAGATAAGAAAGAAATTCAACTATTCACAAGAAAAGATTTTCGGCACTGATTATCAAAGAAACCAGCATTTCTAGTTAAAATCCCAATACGTAGATTTAACCTTCGTCTGCTCATTATAAGGTTAATAATATTATTCTAACTACAAAATTGTTGACAGTAATGGATTAGGACGTCAGGCGGGGCTGGAGTCGGACTCTGGTAAGCCGACGCTGGGAAACCTGAGAAAGTCATGGAAAAAGCGTAAAGAGGGGAAGGCGAGCGAGAAGCGACACTCCCCCACCGAGGAGAGGGCGCCATCCCCTGCAGACCCCGAAAGGGAGGAACGCTCTCGACCAGGCTGGGACTTTGTTGCTGATGATTTTGAAGGTAGGAAGAAAAACCAAATTCAGATGATGAGTATTAGTTTATAAATACATGAAACATTTTTTTCATTTTGTTGACATTTTCAAGAGTTTTATTCATACTTTTGTATAGGAAACTTTGTTATATGTTAGGTTATGACAGGAAGTTATTTATGAAATGACAATGCATAGGTACGATGGTGACTCGTACGATGTGCCTGGAGTGCGAGGCGGTGACGGAGAAGGCGCAGGCGGTGTGCGAGCTGTGTGTGCCCGTGGGCGACGACGACGCGCCCTCTGAAGAGCCCTTCCGCGCAGCCTGCCTCTCCAGCGAGTATCTTCGAGATCAGAACAAGGTTAATAATGTTTATTACAAAAAAAAACAAGAATTTTAAGCCTCACGTCCGAAACCCAGACCGGTAGGCAGAAACCACGGACTTTCATTTGGCACATTCCAGCAGTCTATGCATACACACCGCGTTGGTTTCTGGTGCTCTTAATACAAGGCAAGTGGCATTGTGTTGCAGTACTGGTGCGAACGCTGCCTGCGGTACAACGAAGCGTGGCGCAGCGTGTCGTACTCTCGACTGCCGCGGCTGCTGGTGCTGCAGCTAAAGCGCTTCAGCGGCGGCATGGAGAAGATCACTCGGCACGCGCCAACGCCGCTCCTTATGCCTTGCTTTTGCGAGCCCTGCGCTGCGCGACCGCCTGACCGCCCGCCAAACCACAGGTATACATGTATCCCGATTACACTCATACTGAAAGCAGGTAAAAGATTTTGTATAACCTTAGGAAAGGAACATTTCTCGCTCTATAATTTCTCCAACACAAATTTTGTAATTAATGTTAATGACAAGAAGTTATTGGCGGGTTATAAGAGTGTAAGGCCAAGATAATACTGTAAATGTATATTTTAAAGTATAGTTTTGTTATAACTTCAAATAAATGAATTGTAGGTACATACTATGGGCGGTGATAATGCATCTGGGTCAGACGTTGACGGGCGGGCACTACGTGGCGTACGCACGCGACAGCCCGGGAGAGGGGCGCTGCGAGCGCGAGGCGGGCGGCGAGGGCGCACCCCCTTCCTCCAGCTTCATGCGCACGCTGTTCAGCCGGCCACGCCCCACTCCCGGCTGCGCAGCCAAGGACTGCTGCGTGCCGCGTCCCCGACCTGACGCCTGCTGGCTCGCCTGTGATGATGACCTCGTCAAGCCCATCTCCAATGAAGAGTTCGAGGATCTTCTCTCCTCCGAACCCAAGATGAGATCTGCAGCAACGCCTTACCTACTCTTCTATGTAAAAAGCGAAGTCGGTTAGTGATTGACATCAGTGATACTCAGTGCCCGGTCTGTGCTTCAAGTCATGTATAGATTTAATGGAAAATATATTTTTGGTATATTACCAATATAAATGTGAAATTCGTGTTTGTGTGGCAGAGTTGGGTTTATGATGTTGATCAAATTAAATACCAGTCGAGTTTATTTTTGTAGTTCTCATAGATGAAACTTCTGTCAAATTGAAGTTGACAGTGGAGGAACGAAGGTAATGTTTGCTGTATCCATGTGATTCTGTTATACTACTTAATATTACTTAAATCATTCTAATGTCATGAAAAAATGTTTATTATAAAAGAAATTGTAATGAGAAACATGTCTGCTATTTAGTTTATGCTAAGTTGTGTCAATTTAATTCAAGTTATGAGATTAAATCAGATTTTATGTAAACAAGAAATAAATATTTTTATGTACCTATGATGAAAACATCTAGATAAAAATATATTACATTTACCAACAAAAAAACTATTAAACATTAATTTTTATTGAAAAAAAGAATCATTTTGTAAGGATATAGGGTCCAATAACACCAAATTTTTGTGATTCAGGAACAATAGACACAATTTGCTACACATAAATGCTTGTTTACATAAAATCTTTTAAAATATCAAGACAAAAGTTAGTTTGACTGATAACATAATTATCATTTATGTTATTCGACATATAAAAATGCTTAAAAAGACATATATTTAAAGTTGATCAGTGGCTGGTCTATTCAATGTGAAATGAACAGACATATAAGAATAGTGAATATGAGAAGTAGATGTATGTAAAGTGTAATAATGTGAAAAATGTTACAAGTCAGACAATATGAAACAGAAAGAAATATAATGTAATATTTTTAAATATAATTATTGAAAAGTATTTGAATACATGTTCCTCCGGTACGAAATATATGCTCCCATGTTACTTGCATAAAGGTGGGAGCTTAGACATTGTATTCACTTGTTAATCGCCAAAACATCTGTCCATGAACATATCATCGTCTTTTTCAATCTATTTGAAAAAATAGACAATATCTTTGTATTCATGCATTAGTTGTGGATTGATTTCTTTGATCCTAAACTTAAAGACAAGTTTTTATGTAGTTAAAAAAGTATGTGTGTTTCAAATGAACATAACAAGTAGGTCTACAATAACTTGTGTTTTTTTTAAATATTTTATACAATGTCTACTTCCACCTAGTGTATCAGATATTTACTGCGCTATAAAAGAATTAAGGCCTAAAATGTATATTTCTCTATATTTAGATTTGTATGTAATTTCCTAATTATGGGCAATGTACGGGTGTCCTATGGGATTCTAAAATGTGTTCAATCATTAGATTCATACATGCACATAATACTTGAGAGCAATGAATATAAGGTAGATAACTGATATGTTTATTTACAACTTAACACATACACAGTTTAATTAATTATGTCGAAATCTTAGTGCATTAGCATTGAACATAATTCTTATAAAAACTACGAACTAGTTGATAATCTTTTTCTTTTTGAAATCGGCCAATAATCAAATTTATGTAGGCTTCGTTATTGGGGTCTACCTTAACAATAAGCATGTCTAAAAGAATGTCAAAATGTTTAAAATGTAGATACCATTTAATTCTCTTTAGAATTTTTTTATTGAAATAGGCAACATAAAAATACTAAATATTACTAGGGAAATTCATTGTTTTCAAGTATCTCTTCACACTTTCATGGCCTTACTTCCTTAAATGTAAGCAATCATAGTTCAAAGTTAGTACTTCATATAAAGTTTATAGAATTTAATGTACAGCGTACGTACAGTATTACCACGAATTAATGAGTGCACATAAATTTTAGACATGTACTTATGAATTTATTATATCAGTAGAAAATATATGATTTACACGCCGTCCTGATGCTAACACCAATCGGCTAGCTATAGAAATCGAATATCGAATACCAAGTAATTAAGTTAACATGAGAAGAACTTCTTCATGTGAATAAAATAAATGTTTAGAGAGTTAGAAACTTACAACTTTTACCTTTGGTCCTTCGAGGCGGAGTAATAATTGAATAGAAATTTAGAGTTAATTAATATTCATTATTTTATTATAATGACTTAAACTTATAGATAATATGAAAAAGTGTTCATCATAATTAAAAGACAAAGGCAATAAATTTAATATCGTGGTAGCACTTTACTTGATAGATGTCTTCGATTAGTCAAATTGTTAATCCTTCATACAGAGATCCATACAAAGCATAGTTAAAAATGATTTATTATCGTATATTTTTATGAGAGCGCACATGAAGTAGATGTCTATGTAGACTAGTGAATGTATTTGGAGATGGACAACGGAACTATCCACTTGCTACGAAGTACCAACTGCTGCTTTGTATGATTTTTCATACTATATGTATATTTAATACGAATTTGCTATCGTTTAAGAACCTGCCTTTCCTATAAGCGACTATTTTTGTACTTGCCGCATGATGTGTCTTAACATATTCAAATAAGACCACTTAATTGATGTTTTAGGTTAAAAAATACTATTTTAATACAGATTGTCTTTTGATTTTCACATATTTCTTATTTCAATGTCTGGCCTTTGTGTTTAGTAGATATTTGTGATGTTTTAAAATGTTTTAATAATTGTATTTTCATGTATGTTGTATGAACAATATTAACAGAATGAAATCAGTATTATTGGACATAATATTTTAACCTTGATAAAATTTTGACTGTATACAATTATTTTTTTCTATTGCTACTATAACTGGGCCCATCTTCTTTAGTTTCACATGATTTTTAAACATATGACAGCTTATTTTTTTGTATGTTTGTGTTTAGTTGTTATATATAACTTTTCTTGTATACTGATGTGCTGTATATTTGTTGCGGATGCCATTCCAAAACCTTTGAAAAAGGTCAAATAATCTTGTCAGTAGTTTTACGTGTTTATTTTAATCAAACGAAAATGTTATGATTATTTTAAATGTAAATTGGATTTGGAAATTAAAAATAATTTCAATAACTAATATTTGTTTTTTTTGTGATGTTAATTCTTATGACCTTTTCTTGTAATAAATGGGTAAGTGAAAAATGAGATCCTTTTGTGATAGCAATTCTGCTAATAAAAGGTTGTTGACTATTAAGAAAAATGTTCATTGATTTGTTTCCGAAGAAAATATGTGTGCAACACCACTTGCGACTGTTATAGTGCTGCCAGTATCCATAAATATTTCTAAGAACATAAGTTTTTTAGAAATCTGTCTCAGTAGCAAAGGCTAACGAAATCAATTACGAATGTGGGATATTTCTCCACGGGTTACCGGTAAAACAATCGTTTGCGTGAAAATCGATATTATACCCTGAAATGAAAAATCGATGACGAAAATAAAAAATCTTTTCTTTTGATTTTTCCAAATATGATACTTTGTTTTCAAAGTAACAGACTGACGGACAAGAGTTGAGTGGATTAGTTTTGTTTTACCTCTTAAAATAAAAAAAAAGTAATACCTTTTAATTAATTATTTTCTGAAACACGCCTTTAATAAATGCAAGATTGCAAGTCCGATAAGTTTTATTGGTTTAGATAAGAACAAGGAAGGGTAGGTAGCGACTTTATTGACCAGTTATAGAAAACGGCTGTACTGATACTCTTATCTGTTCAGAGATAATACGAAGTCAAACGGGACGGGACGGGAGTGCGCCAGAAGACGTTTTAACGTGTTTTGTGAAAGTCGTGTATCGTAATTGTAAAAAAATGAAGGCGGTAGAAACACGAAACAGAAAATACCAGGTACATAATAAATAATTAAAAAGATATTTTTATGTTAAACGAATTATCAAAACATTATAAAACAATACTTATAATACGAAAAAACTAAACTAAATACATAATTGGAAAAAAACTAAGTTATTTAGTTAAAAATTATAACTTTATTTGCATCAACAATTTTTTAATAGTAATCGTAAATAACTATGAGATATTGTTTGAAAATAAATTTACAATGAAATTGAGCAACACTGCAAATAAAATAATGTGGCTAGTGTAAAAATTTCTACCTGCTTGTGACATTGCGGTGACCTTAGCCGGATAACTTGCTGTCAAACTACAAAGTATACCGAGTTGCTTTGCTTTGTGTGTTTTTAATAATCATTTAAGTTACTTTTTAATTTGACATATAAATGGCATTTGTAAGTAGATAATTTATATTTTAATTTGCAAATATTTCTCATATTGTTATCGATGCTTTCATAGCGTTCGAAAAATTTTAACCGGTGTTTTAGTCGGCGAAGTGAATGAATAATTTGGCTATCTCCCTCACTTTTCACTCTCTTGTTTCACTTTGTCTTTTTATGGGTTGATCACGCGGTCCCGTAATGATATGCCGATATTTACATTGACTAGATTTCTACAATATACTCTTATAACCTAGTTTTTATACATATGTATCAATGGAAGATTTTCTCTGAAGAACACTAAAATGTCCCGTCAGCTGTAAAGCTGCGTTACAAATTTTAACTTTACACATTAATAAATTTTATTAATATTGATTTTATTAACTTACATTTAAGACATCGACATTATTTTAAATGACTTCAGTATGTTTAGGTGTTTCCAAGTAAAATATTGTAAAGACAATTTTGAGATTAATCTTAAATTATCAACTTTTAAGATACGGTCTAATTTTGCATTAAATTATTCTAAGAAGTTAATTATTAGTAAATTTTATAGATTTATGAAGGTAATCCATATATTTCTTAACAAACTAGACTATATACGCCGTTTTACTAAATAATATAGCCCGTAGGTACCTATGTATGAGATGAAAATTAATCAAGTCATACCGCCGTTAACAATATTTTATGGAGTAATCATTCTGGATCACTAACTTATGTTTAATGTAAATCAAGACGTTTAATCACGTGATTTCGTAAGGTATGTGTGTAAACAAGAACGACATTTAAAATATGTTACGTTTATAACGTAAGGTCTAATTAGAAAACTAAATGGTTAAATGAATGGTAGTTTAATGCTAGTTTCCACAGCCTAAACACCCGTTTGTACGTTAATATGTCTTTGTACAAGTTTTCCAACAATGGAAACACAATGTGATATTAATCGCTTCTGGCTAGTATGTACTTATATTCTAAAGTATATTTACTAAGTTTGCTTATTTATCGAAAAATGTATGCAATTCTCGGTATCAGTAATAAAATAGCAAAGATGTTACGTACCTGATAGAAATTTATGTTAATTAAAAGCACAATATTATTTTAGTCTGCGTTTATTATAGGCTGGTAAACAAAGAATTTGCAAAACTTGGAAATGGTTATTATCACAAGATTTATAACGTAAGTAATGCATTAAGTTACTTCTAAATAACATCACAACGGAACCGCCCAAACCAATATTATCGTTTTTTACGTTTCACTCAACTGTAACGGTCACGCTGCCAAAAAAATATAAACGAAAGTCAAATGACTCCTCGAAGTCGTGAAAAATAATTATTAAAATAATAGTTTTATAGTATCATTCAAAATGTACGTGCAAATAACTCTTTTTTAAGAAAAACTATTTATAAAGTAACTTTCGGTATATTCTTATATCTAATTAATACTTTTAATATTCAGCTACTGCTTACTCTTATATTGGCAAGCGGCATGCATTGGCAAATATTCAAACGTTTAAATTTAGAATAACTGGTTCACACACGAAGTCTTATGTATTTAATGTGAGATGAAAGGGATAAGGGATTAGTAAATTTTGAAACGATAAAATATTCTGTTTACAGTCATCAGAATTTTTCGATCCATAGAGGAGGGCTTTTTAAATTTTTGGTTTGGCACTCACCCCGCGTAGCAACGTCTCTATCTCTATTGTTGCGCGCGCCTCGATTCGCGCGGTCCGATGTAATACGCAAGTCCGTAGTCGTATTCCGGTGCAGCTGCGACGGGAAGTTTTTTACGAAGGGCAGTTCAAGATCACAAACGTTTTTACCCCTGACGTGTTTAAATAAAAGGTTGTTACATTACACAGCTGTGAATATGGTGTGGTCGACAATATACGATGGCAAAACAGAGGTAATATTTCGATGTTTATTTAAAAGCACAAATTATATCATCTGAGCTACGTAAAATTCGTCACGTTCACGCAAATTACGTTATAATGTTACCTTGACGATATTTTTGTGAATAGGGAAAGATTTTCAGTTGTAAAAATTTTATTCATGCTCCCATATCGTTCTTATAAGAAAACCGAGTAAAATAAATAAAACAAAATGAGTGCGAAGCTTTGCCGGTATGCTATTCGCAATGTGTCATTAATTTTTAAAAGAACGATGGTAAAAAATTGAATTAAAATTGTTGTTTTGTCTGCTTAATTTTTTGTTATAAAATAATTCTTTTTTCAACATATATTATGTTTATATTTAAAAGGCTAGTATTAAGAAATTTGTTAATAACACTGCTAGCATTATTTTCATTTTGTTAATGCACCAAAAACAAATTTATAAATAATAGAGTTAATGTCTACTTTGTTATTGCTTAAGTAAGCAATGAAAAATTCTGAATGGTTATGTAAATATAGCTATCTAAATTAGTTTTTAAAATGTAATCATTTATTATTATAAAGAAGAGTTTTGTTATTCCAATTATAAAATTTCATGATTTACATATAACCACTGATAGACATGTTTCTTGAGCAGCATCAGATGTTAGGTAATAGTTTTCTACATAGTTTTACATCAAACATTTTGCTTTTATGGGTCCATGGCAGTGACTTCAGATCAGACGAGCCACTTATTGTTGCTAACTGCAGTGATGTTTATTTTTTGACATCACATGCATGATGATAGGAAGTCAGGCTGTTGCTTCGCGTAGGCAGTTTTGCTACACACTATGCTTTTATTAATGTTCAGGTTCTACTTTGTTCTAGTTTCAATAACAATACAATTAATCATTATATCCTTTTCCTTTAGAAATTTGAGCCGATCCTAACATGCCTTGACACTATCACCAGTAATAAGATTTTACTAATTATAAATGTATATTTAAATACATACAGATAATCTGAAGTCTTCACTACTTATGTATTTATGCAAGATATATATTTTTTAAAATAAAAGATAATAATATAGATTTTAAGCTGTATAATATGTTGCCACTAAAATCTGTATACTGCTATTTACTTTACATAAAATGTTATGATAGCAGAATATGTAGTATGTAATATTACATCATAGACCTTGACAATGAATGATTCAGTACATTAATCTCATTAATATTGTAACGCAAATAGCGTGCTTACAGTTTTCAATATGTTCTAGGTTTTAGGTAACATGATTTCGTGAGGTAGATAAATTAGATAAACCGGAGATTCCAAAACTTTCTTATATACTCCCGGTTAACCCTAGCTGTTACATATCTTCTTTACTTTGTAGTTGAGTCTTATGAGGATCCCGAGGGGTCCTATAACTATTTGGATTGCTTTTCTAGTCAGAAACAAAGGCAACTATAAGCATGTGAGACACTAATTTGTACATAATGATTTGAATAAAGAGTAGTCACGATGCATTATTTGTGTGCAAGTTTACTGATTACTTCGACATTGAACGTGAGATGCGCAGGAACACACGGAAACGTATCATTCAGGTATTAAGGGCCCGTTCACATGTAACAGGGCGGGGAGAAGAGCAGATTTTAATCTCAAGTAAAGTTGTTTTTGGCAAGATTTTTTTACATTCTGCAAACACAGAAACCTTTTTCGAATTGATTTGACTATAGAATTGTAGGGTTCCTTTTCGATATATCAGAAGTTAAGCAAATGTGTAAAATCTTTCTTTTAAATATAACCCACAATAGTAAATCGAAACGTAAAAACGCAATTAACGAGTATGTCCGTTTCATTGTTACGTCTTGTAGCCTAAACAGCTGTAACTCCGTAGTATGAGGTTTGCATGCTATCGTATCGATGGATCGATTCGATTCGTATTTACTCGACTAACATAAGGATGTACTACTGTAGTGTAGACTTATATTTATTGATTTTACTATAAGGGTTACGAAACTAATGATTTTGGGGAGAATCACTGAATCCACTTTTTACTTATATATTTGATGTGTGTCAATGTGTGTGCAGTCGGGGTCCGCTGAGAAGCCGGGCATGCAAATGGCGGCGGCGGACGTGGGCTCGCACCTCGAGCATATGTGCAGCCTCGACATCGACTCCAAGGCCAGCTATGTCCGCCTCTCCGGTATCATCTGCACCATCGGTGAGTTATAACATAAGTACTTTATTGAACATATGGTGCCCTAGTACCTGTGTTCCCAACTTAACATGGTTATTATTCGAAAACATTAATCTGCAATGATCATCGGCTTAATAAAGATGAGCCTGAAGGTGTTAATAACAGAGTTGAGAAAAAGTCAAAAGAGTACATTTTTACCTAGAGGACTCCTTGGTGCGCTTCGTTATAATTTTTCCAGCAAGACATTTGGACATAGAAGATTACTTCTACATTCGTTCTGGGTATAAACTCATAACTTATAACACAATCAACTAAGATAATCTTGTATATTTACTTTTCTTATTATCAAAACAAACTCCATCTAATGCGGCATATGGATGCGATAAACTTCTGCTAAATAATTTGCACACAATTATAGTAATGCAATATCAAAGAACACAAAATCCACGAGTAGCGTGTAGCAAGATGTATTGATCGATAGGTCGTTTACTGGCATACAGACTGAAATTAGGTTAGTTCCTACGTCAACAAACTTTTCACATGCGATACATATATTTCTTTTTTATCATTAAAACGTATCTTGATTACTTAATAATTGCTTACTGTGGGAGTTTTGAATATAAAACACTAATAAGAAAAATACGAAAATATAAGTTTAACATAGGAGTATCAACACATTTTCGTCTCAGAAACCCACGGTAAATATTTTAAAAGCCCAAGACGGCAAAGGAGCAAGCTGCTAAACTGGCGAAACGATCGCATGTACATACAAAAGCACTATTTTATATTCTCATGTTATCCAGGGCCGGCTTCCCGTGATGTAGCAATGCTGGAGAAGATGATGGAGACGGGCATGAATGTCGCTCGTATGAACTTCTCTCACGGTTCCCACGAGTACCACGCTGAAACTATCAAGAACTGCCGCGAAGCTGAGAAGAACTACAGCGCGAAGCTCGGTGTACCTTTCTCTCTAGCTATAGCACTAGATACTAAAGGCCCCGAAATTAGAACAGGCCTGCTTGAAGGTGTAAGTATACAATAGTACTGAATAAAGTGACATAAAAAAAGTTTTTTTTTGTGTATTATAAGGTGGCAAACGAGCAATCTACAACTTGATTACGCCGAAATAGAGAAGCGACCATTAATCATAGACATCTCCAATTGCAGATGCGTTGCCTTTACTCGACGGAGGACGCACAGAAAGATGATATTTCCCTTTCTTGTGCTTACCCTCTCCTGTCAAATACACTCACCCTTCCAAAAATTTCCTTATTAGAATTGGGTGCAAAGGAAAATTTATTACTTTGACTTCATGTCTTCTTTGGTCGTGAACCCAGTAAATATGGTTGTGGGTACCAATGTTAAATTTTTAAAAATATTCTTACACAGGGTGGTTCGGCTGAAGTGGAATTAAAGAAAGGGGAGACCATCAAACTGACGACAAACCCGGCTTACCAAGAAAAGGGCACCGCGGCCATGATCTTTGTCGACTATAAGAACATCACCGGCGTCGTGAAGCCAGGGAACAAGATCTTCATTGATGATGGACTGATCTCTGTCATCTGCCAGTCCTCTACTGCGGATACCCTCGTCTGCACCATAGAGAATGGAGGTAAGATTTACTCAGGATCAGGAAAAAATAATTTTAAAAGACAAAGATTACGATCCAGGTGTTAAGGTTGTGGAATTTAGATCTTTTCGACCGACCATCCACTTAGCCCAAGAGCAATATTGTTTCCTATTGGTCCGATCGATTCCATAAATTAAATCGGCCAATAGGAATATTTTTCCACTGCGCCAAAAACAACACCCTGTAATTTCACTGTTAGATAAAAGATTACAGCTGCTAAAAAATTACAAATGCATAGGTCAAATGTTCAATTCTCGTTTCTTCATTTAAAAAAAGCATAACGCATGTGTTTGTGTTCAGGTATGCTGGGGTCCAGGAAGGGTGTGAACCTGCCTGGTCTGCCAGTCGACCTGCCCGCCGTGTCTGAGAAGGACAAGTCTGATCTGCTCTTCGGTGTGGAACAAGGCGTAAGTAGCTTATGTCCTCTTTTAGACTATGTGTGTATAGATGCGAAGTTTTTTATATATCATAAGGCAGCAAAAGAGCAAGCCAACTGAATTCGCCGAAATAGCGAAGCTACCACTACCCATACACATCAATCAATATCAATTGCAGATGCGTTGCCTAGCTTTAATCAACGGAGGAGAGGGCACAGAAAGAGGATATTTTCTTTCACATGTGTCCCCTTTCGTCGAATCCACCTCCTCTTCCCATTCTCTCCTCAATAAGAATAAGGATTTATATCACTTTATCAGGTGGACATGATCTTCGCATCGTTCATCCGCAATGGCGCTGCGCTGACGGAGATCCGCGGCATCCTCGGTGAGAAGGGCAAGAACATCAAGATCATTTCCAAGATTGAGAACCACCAGGGCATGGTCAACCTTGACGAGATCATCGCGGTAAGTTACTATCGCTTACTACCTGTCGCCCACGACTCCGTTTGCCTGGGAAAAAGTAATAAGTAGCCTATGTGTTCTTCCAAACTATGTTCTATATGTATGCCAAATTTTATTGTCATCTGTTGAGCGGTTTTGGATATACCTTCTAATAAACATCCATCCATCCAAACTTACGCATTTATAATAATAGTAAGATTTACCGTTGGTTTCTGAGACCAAAATATGTGTATGAAATCGTCATCCCTGTCATGATTTTAGACATTATTTTACACAAAAAAGAATATGTTTTAAAATGGTATTTTAGCCTCAGGAACCCACTGTCAGTGGATATAATTTAGAGTTTGCTACTGGAATAAATTATCGAGTCTTCTCACTCGGTTAGCATCATGTGATCTAATTCTAGTAAAATCTAGTTACAATTTTGTATATTATTACCCAATTTGTATATCAGAGCTACAGGATGCAGACAATCTACACGATTTGTGATATAATTCGCAATCATTGTAAAATTGCATCCTCTTTATATAACCTATATTGAGATGTTCCAGCTTTCTTTTGTAAATAAGTTAATGTTTTTTTTAATTCAAGATTTTATTTGAACTATACATGATAATTTAATTTAAAGCTTTAACCAGTTTAACTTAAAAAAGAAAACTTTTATTGATTTTTATACAACTCACGCTTGTTAGGAGAATTATTTTTACAAGGTTTTTACTATTTTCAGAATTAACTATAATTTATGATTTTGTTGCATGGATGATTAATATTATTAACTTGTAGGCATCCGACGGTATAATGGTGGCACGTGGAGACCTTGGTATCGAAATCCCTCCTGAAAAAGTGTTCCTCGCACAGAAGACGATGATCGCTCGTTGTAACCAAGTAAGTTTATTTACAACATAACTCACACTCGTAACCCAGAGAGGTAGGCAGAGACCACGGACTTCCATTTGAAGCGCTCCTGACACACCTCTCGTTTCTTACTAAGATTTAAGGGGTTAATTAATTGATGGCATAGACTGTAATAAATCACTGGCACCAGTTGGTGTTTTCATTATGTCAGTAATTCAAAGCGCTAGTGTTCTACTGTACTGGAATAATATAAACCAGGCATTGTATTGTGTGTAACATTTGTAGGTGGGTAAGCCAGTGATCTGCGCGACTCAAATGTTAGAATCGATGGTGAAGAAGCCGCGGCCGACGCGTGCGGAGACATCAGATGTGGCCAACGCCATCCTGGACGGTGCGGACTGCGTCATGTTGTCCGGTGAGACGGCGAAGGGCGACTACCCGCTAGAGTGCGTTCTCACCATGGCCAACATCTGCAAGGAGGCCGAGGCTGCTATATGGCATCGCCAGCTCTTCACGGACCTCGTCGCTCAGGTAACACTGGTCAAAAAGGTTGATGTTAAACCGCTTTTCCACTAAGCGAGCAATATCACGGCTGATATTTCTATGATAGTAGTCCGGCTAGACGTTCTAGTGAAAAAAGTTTAAGTGTGCATTAACAGTTAGATATGAATATACAGAGACAGTTGCTAATTGAATTGTTATAGAGTTAATAAATGTCTGTTAAATATACGCTAACTGAATAGAATATCACTCAAAGACGAGATATTAACCTAGTTCTTACAGTGGGTTTCTGAGACTAAATATATTGTTATCTCTGTTTTGTCAAAGATAATGACAAGGACGACGATATGTTTTTTCAAAGCTTTTGTTCTCAGAAACCAAGGATAAGTTCAACAAATGAGTACGCTACCACATTCAGTTATATGGATGAATTTCAACGCCATCTAACGTCAGTTTTATTACGTTGTGTTGTAGGTTAAAGGTCCGATCGAGCCGGCTCACTCTCTGGCGATAGCGGCAGTGGAGGCGTCTAGCAAGTGCATGGCGTCCGCCATCGTGGTGATCACCACCAGCGGCCGCTCCGCCCACCTGCTCAGCAAGTACCGCCCGCGCTGCCCAGTCATCGCCGTCACCAGACACCCGCAGACCGCGCGACAGGCACATCTCTACCGCGGCGTGCTGCCGCTCGTATACAAAGGTACAACACAACTCACGCCCATCATCCACTGGTGTGGCCAAAGATGACAAATTTCCATTTGGTATGGTCCTTTCTCACAGTAACAGTCTTAGATGTTTTAAGCGCCCTGGGCGAGATTTTTACCGCGCCCTGTTTTTACTATAGCCATCTACCTATACTTCGAAAAACTTTCTTGATCACTCAGTGACTAAATCTTCTTTCCTGATATGTTCTTTGTCTCGCTTATTTTTGTGCCTTCAGACTAAATCGATCCAATGATAAATTTCTCTTAGTCTTTATTACTAATAGTTAAATAATAAGTGTTATAAGTTTGTTTGTGATGTACAGAGGCGGCGGCGAGCGACTGGCTGAAGGACGTGGACCTGCGCGTGCAGTTCGGGCTGCAGTTCGGGAGACAGCGCGGCTTCATCCGGCGCGGGGACCAGGTCATCGTCGTCACCGGCTGGCGCCAGGGCTCCGGATACACCAACACCATGCGCATCATGTATATAAATACTTATCACTTATCTCAGCGGATCTTAAGGGATTATCCAATTACATAACATGTTAAATTGGAGGAAACACTCATCTCTAAAAATGTATTGGCTATAAGACGTACTATTTTGTGCCTATTTTATTTCCGCCATTTTGGCGCTGATGGTAGCGGTTTGTAGCGGTGGTGGAGATTTGAACTAATAATATAGAAATAATTAACTGTCATGTAACATCAAAAGGCGCGTTTAAATAGGAATGAAGCAAAAGCTGTCTTCTAAGCGATTGCTAATCCATTTGAAATCAGTGGGAAGGTCAAGAAGTGAGCGAAACTAAATGTTTTTTTTATTTTTTCCAGCCCCGTTGTGGACTAAGATGTGAAAGTTGCAGCATATTTCTCCCCAAGTATTAGTGCAGATTAGCAGTGATATATAATGATCTAAAACAAGAATAACTGTTGATATATGTATACATTAAAATATATCTACTTTATTTATTAGAGAAGAGAGTATTGTGTATTTGTGGGTTCGATTAAAAATGTGCAGAATTACATATAAGCTTCATTTTTATTTCCCTTTCTTTATGTAAAAACAACTAGCGGTCGCCCGCGACTCCGTCCGTGATGAATTAAAAAACAATACAATTAGTAGCCTATGTGTTCTTTCAGATTATGTTCTAAATGTATGCCAAATTTCATCGAGATTCGTTCAGTAGTTCTGTAGATACCTTCAAACAAACATACATATAAACATTCGCTATTATAATATTAGTAAGATGTGTAAAAAGGAACGTTAAATCGATAGAGGAAACATTAATTTGGGACAATAAAGTTTTATATGAATGATAAGAGATGTCGCTAGTAGTCACATTTCATGAAATAAATCACGCTTTATAATAATTTGTAGACAATTACATATAAATTAATTGTGAGAGATATTACAAAAATGTTTGACCTTGTAATGAGATATAGTCAGCAAAAATGTATTGGCACCATTTCAAAGGTATGCGCTATTAGTGGAATAACAGATTCAGATCTGTTGAAGATTTTTAAAAAAATAATGGAGATTCAATAATTGTGTCGAAATATACCGTTCACGGTAATTGTAAACAGACTACAAATAAATTGACTAGTTGCCACAATCCGTTTACATTTACTCTTTGAAAAGAAATTGCGAGCCATACTGTACGGAATGATGGTCAAATTGACCAATCAGTCAACCAAAAAAAAAGTTAAAAAAGAATCTTACAAAAACTTTTTGGAAATACATACAAAAGATCACATTCAAAACAAGCACTTTTTAATGTAAAACATGCCTTAACGTGATTCATCCCTGTTATTCGTTGAATCTTTAAGGACTTTTTTATTTGACATTTTCAGCGTTACAACTCAGACATAAAGGAAAATTTATAAGACGATTCTGTTTACAACCTCGCAGTATCGACCATTTTAAATGTAACTGCCGGTATAACTGTCTGAAAACGAGGCGTGTACTTTGCTCGGGGAATTACTGCGCGCTCAGTGCTCATTTTATTGTTGCCAGAATTAATTGTGTCCAGATTTATTTAGTTTACACATACCTACGATTGCGAATACACTGTCTTAGCTTAACACTTTTAAATATATTTACTTTTTGCCTGAAAAATGCAATGAAATAATAATTTGAAATAACCGTGACATAAAAATCTGTGCCCACCTCTCGAAGGCATGGTTGAAAGTGTTTACGCATTGCGGCGTCGCAAAATAACAGATCATCCTATTTACGTAAAACTTTATTACCTGAGTAAACCGAACATATAACTACACAAATTACTTCTTCGATAATAATATAATAACGAGCATACACATAGTAGAATAATATTGCAACGAACCTATCTTTCACTTCTCAACAACGGAAAGACCTGCACCGAATGACGTCATTCACATTGACACTTACAGTTTCCAGTATCATCACGCAAATCTTCTACGTCAACATCCGCAGCTGATGTAGGTACTAACCATCATAGAGTGGCCTGCACTGTGCAGCCTGCGAGCTCGGAGGAATCTAGGCCGTAAAGCGCCGGGTATACGGTCCCGTTCGGACGGTCCCGAGTCTCCCTAATCCAGAGTCCGTAGCGCGCGCTGCTCGGGCGCCGCACGCCGACCGGCGACTAAAAATAACCGCGCACCGCCAGTACCGCCGTAACTGCCGCGCGCGACGCTCGCTGCGACGCGACACGTAACCATGGCGGAGACCATCGAGGAGACTTACGAGACCGCGGTCACCCGCAAGGTGGTCCGCAAGAGCCTCAAGATAGAGGAGGTGAGCACTCGCTTGTACGCCGCGACACCGGCGCCGCCGCCCACGACACACGCCGGCTGGACTCAGCTGTAAACATTACCAGCCCTTCGCACCCGACACACGGAAATAACCGACAACTAAACACAAAAAAAACATTACCCTCTCTATAACACGTCTGCGGGTCGCTTCCTGGTGAAGACGCCCACCTATTCCGGGAAGCCGGTGGCCACGGCCCGTGGCCGCGAAGGTCCGCCGCCTCACACCGCACGCCGCTCGTCGAAGGAAGCCGCGCCACTTGTAATTTGCGACGATGTAAATAGAACTGGCGTTTGAATGAAAATTTCCGTGACCACCTTGACGCGTGTGCATCGACCTGTCTCGTGCGTTCGCTGGACACCCCCCACGTGCGACCTTGCCACACGACACAAAACAAAATGACATACACTCCACACATTAGCTACATATCCCTCTGTTATGAACTAAACACAAATAGCATCGAAGCCGAAAGCGATGGAAGCGTTAGAGAACATTGTGTAACGCCGTTCTTTCGGTATTTCCGTCGTCCGGACACAATTACATAAAAATGCTGAAAAATTAAATAAGAGATACAGCAATGTTACATTTATAATATCTGGTAGATCGGAACGTCTACTGTCACAAGTCTCATCGCATTGTCTCTGGTCACCAACAATGAATGTTAGGGGGACTACTGTCCGTTTCCAAAGCGCGAAATCCAATGGAAAAACGCGCCGTGGCATATTTTCGTCTTGGCTCCCATCCTAGTTTATCTGCTACATTACGATGTTTATTCACAATACGAAAGCGAGTATTAATGTGTGCGTCTCGAGCACTCGTGTTCGGGCTTTTGCTTGCTCTGTGCTGATCACTAATCGATAGAAATACATTCATTGCAACGAAACTTCCATTGTTATTTTTCGCTTAATTTATGTAGATTAAAAACTGATAAGAAGTAGACGAAATTTTACATCAGATCACAGACTAAATTATCTTTATAATTAAACAAAGATAAAAATTAAAAGTAGCTGGCAATTTAGTTTGTTTACTTGGCAACATTTGTATAGTCCTTTCAACACGATGTAGATAACGCTTGAAACATTAAAAATAATATTGCTTTTATGTTGATTCGTTACAGTTAAATTTGTGACAGAAAATTTTGTATAATTAATCTTT